TGTTCTTAGTTCTGCCTGTTTATTACCTCTTCACCGTCGTCTTTTTCTTCCTCACAGCATACTCATATTTAACTCTTTTGTGTATACAGGTGTTGTCTCTCCGTTATCTACTATTCGCTCTGTTTGTCCTTAACCATCGCGGTAGACAAATTACCAGGTAACTAAAATTAATCCAGTTTCGTCCTTTTTATGATGAAATTTTTTTAATGTGAAGCTCCACCCTGGATTTTGCCAGGGGCCGCAATATAGGCTGGCCATAAATATGGCCAATTGTCTGAAGGCGGTTTCTGGGACCTCTCCGCGGCGAACCTCATCCACATGGTGGTACATTGTGTCATCGGGTGTTTATCGCTTGTGAGATGTCCTGGTGGGGTGGAAATTCAATCAATCATCAATCAAATTACCAGGTTATCCAGTTTTCGTCCTTTTTAGGATACAATTTTTTGTTATTTGAAGCCCCATCCTGGCCTTTGCCAGGGGCCGCAATATAGGCAGGCAATAAATATGGCCAATTGTCTGAACGCGGTTTCTGGGACCTCTCCACGGCGATCCTCATCCACATGGTGGCACATTTTATCGCTTGTGTGATGTCCTGGTGGGGTAGAAAGTCAGTCAGTCAAATTACCAGGTAAAACAACGGCTGTTATCCTTTTAAAACTTTGGGTTTTTAACTTGTAGAGAACAGACATAAGATTGATGAAAAAAAAAAAAAAAAAGCAACAACCGCGCACTAGTAAAGCAAACTGAAGGACCATTTCCCACGTCTTCAGACGTATTGGGCAAATAGGGCTAGACCTATATTTTATAGATCAATCAGTATCTCACCAACCGTCTTTACTTCCCATGACTGCACCTCGTACCCACTCAAAGCTGGTTCAGCCTGGGAGCCAAGTTAATGAGGAATCCCCGGGCATAAGTCACAGAAACCCCTTTCAACCATTAGGTGGCGCTTTAAAACAAAAAAAAAAAAAACAAAAAAAAAAAAAAAAATATTGCGCCCCATATTGGGATACTGCACACTAACTTTAAGATAACATAAGAACGGCTATTGACCTTTGTCCAGGTGAGCATGTTGTTTATAGACACTCTTTTCCTGAAGATTCCTTTAGTGTGTGTGCTCAAGTGTTGAACCATGTCCCTCAGTGTGGCCTGTTTCTGTAGGACACCAAACATCGAAGGAATTAAAGGTTTACAGACCTCAGGATATAAGGAAGACATCATCATCCTGAGGTGCTATAACATACCACATAAGGCTCGCAACCTGTCCCCCCCCCCCCCCCCCATTCGCAGATTACACATGTGTAACTTGTTCTGAAGGAGAGCCGCTATGGTGTAGCGGCTAGACGCTCTCATGCGGATCAGAAGGTAGTTAGCGCAGTCGATAAGAGGCTCGCTTTCAAATCCAGCTGCGACTCGCTGCAGCCACGGTCGGTTTTCGAAACCGGGCGCCTCCCGGGGTTCACCCAGCCTCTAGGAAATGGGTACCAGAGTGACACTCTGGGGTAAATAGACGAACGTTGCTGTAGCTACAGAGTTACGTGCGAACGGCGACACAGGCGGACAGTTTATTATCACTGTCCGTACTGGTGGCAGAGCCCTTATGGTTTTTAACCGTGTGCAATGACGCTGGTTCACATCTCTCGACTTTACCTTTATAAGCAAGAATAGTGGCATTTTCGGCAACCGGCTCCAGATGACGGGCCGTACTGCTGACGTCACCTGGTTGAGCTAACGACGCGTTAACGCAGCGGTTCTCAAACAAGAAATAAACTATTTTCGACAGTGGCCGAGGGAAGACAACTTCAATTTTAACTTTTAAGTATCTACATGCCTTTTTTTATTAATTTCACAATTTTTAACCGACTTTTCGTAATTCATATATTACCATGATTTTGCCCAGTTTAGACAGCAGGGCAGTACATGCCAGGTGGCCACTTCTAAGATCAACTAGTAGACTCCATACAGTGTCTATCTCTGCAATCCGCGACACCCGGGCGAAATATTCTTCTTCTTCTGCTTCGCGTTCACCAGCTGTAAACTCTGGTGGAAAGTTCTGGTTGTTCATCCACTTTTGGACTGCAATCCTGTTACAGAATCTGAGTGTGACGTGTGCATCCGTTTTACAGATCTGACTCATTTGTATGCAGACTGCTGGTTCCTTGCCTTTCTGACAGATGCACTCCGACTTCGAAGGAAGCTCCTAATTAGTCGACTCTTACGACATGCTTTTGGGTAGGTAGTAAGTCTATTCTTGCTTTCCCTATAGTAGGGCCCGGGAACCCACACGGGGAGTGCGAAATCAATGGCAGTAGCCAGAAAAAAAATGTTAACAGAATACTTGAAAATAATCTACCGTGTAACACGGAAAACAAAATATTACATGGGGGTGTAAGTGAGCTGGACACCACAGATTTCTTACCCTTCTACTCAATGAGTCATTAGACTGACTGATGACTGGCATGGCCAGGCTTAAAGGGCGTGACATGAGCTCTATCTGCATGGACCGGGTTCGTTCCGCTGGGAGACAATATGACTTGCCCCATCGCTTTCTCCTTAACTGTACTTGTGGGTCTGTGATGGGGGAAGTGTCAACCTTTCCTGTTTGAAAGTCAAAGTTAGTTGACAGCTCTTTAAAGAAGTAGGTGGAAAAGACACAATTATATGCATTCACACATAATAGGCTACGATGTTGTAAGACAAAATTCACACTGATGCAGACAACTCAAACAATGAATCGCGTCAGTTAATATTCTCTTGATTACAAGCTCATAGAAAGAATGAACTACATAGATTATGCCAACAGTCAGCATGGCAATAGTCATTAGTCTTTTGTAAAATGAAAACCACTCACCATAAAAAAAAAAAAAAACTCTCAACCAGTTTCAGTTACGAAAAACGCTACAGTGTTAAACAGTACAAAGGAGCTGATAAAGAAATTTATAGACACTGAATACACATATTTTCTAATATCTTATATAATACAACTCCGCAAAAATCGGCCACAAACCCGGCTGGAAAAGGAGGAGGGTCTGGCTGAACTTGAATGCTTCATGCGTCTCCGAAAGTAGTGGGTGACCTTGGATCAGCCAGACAGCAGGCATGGAGGCCGCAAGGAGGCAGCCCATCAACTATGCAAAGACACATCAGGCTGATCACATGTTTGCCTAAAACCACAAGTTAGCAGTGAGATAAAACCGGATGGATCTTGACGGAGACGAACTGGCTTTGTTTAAGGGTTTGACTCGAATGGAACAAAGCCAAACAGAAAACTGCTGACAGAGCAGTCTTGCAATCTGTCTGATAAACCTCTACACCCCAGGGTAGAAGAGCGGCGACAAGGCAAAGTTATATAATACATCTCCTTATTTTGACGGTACACTGTTACGTGGTTGTAGCCCATTGTTATTGTTTTCTATATTCTCTTGACTACAGTGATGGATTTTTTTTCACTATTCAGCTACACCGTCTATCGATGTACTTCTTGTTGTTTATCCCGTCTTCCATTTACTTGTTTTGCTAGAGAAGGGCTCATAAACAGTTTGGTCTGGCTGGGGACTGACTTACAGACTGTTGTTTTTTTGAAACCTGATCTAATTCGACCTAATTAAAAGCCATAATGATTCGGAAAGAACTAGCGGAGGGCACGGTTCCTGTAGGATAAGGTAGTGGTTGCCCATCACCACGGTCGACACATCATGTCAAAGCTCACCGTGTGGGTTCCGGGCCGTGTCGGTTCCGGGGCCGTATGGGTTCCGGGGCCGTGAGGGTTCCGGGGCCGTGTGGGTTCCGGGGCCGTGTGGGTTCCGGGGCCGTGTGGGTTCCGGGGCTGTGTGGGTTCAAGGATTGTGTGGGTTCAGGGGCCCTGCTTTGATGGAACAAGAATAGACCCACTGCCCCTAAGAGGCTTGAGGTGAAAGGCAACTAATTAGGAGTTTGCTTAAATCAGATGTGCTAGGCCGAATGGGCAGATATCGCAGTCTACCTGTAAATAATATAACATGCCAATTGCATTTTAAGGACTCAGAAGAAGAAGAAGGGAGAGATGGAGAAGAAGAAAACGGAGGAGGAGGAGGAGAAGAAGAAGAAAAAGAGAAAGAAGAAGCAGAAGAAGAAGAAGAAGAAGAAGAAGAAGAAGAAGAAGAAGAAGAAGAAGAAGAAGAAGAAGAAGAAGAAGAAGAAGAAGAAGAAGAAGAAGAAGAAGAAGAAGAAGAAGAAGAAGAAGAAGAAGAAGAAGAAGAAGAAGAAGAAGAAGAAGAAGGAGAAGAAGAAGAAGAAGAAGAAGAAGAAGAAGAAGAAGAAGAAGAAGAAGAAGAAGAAGAAGAAGAAGAAGAAGAAGAAGAACAAGAACAAGAACAAGAACAAGAACAAGAAGAACAAGATGAAAATGAAAAAGAAGAAGAAAGTAGTACAATAAAGAAACAATGTTCTATGATAAGATCCACGTTTTGCAAAGGACCTGCTACATGGCAGTGATGATGCAGCGATACATACCCAACTCGTGTCTATTTTGAGCATTATCCAAAAGATCTTTGGGATGTTGTTGGTAGAAGCAGATTTCTGGTGCCACGTTGCGAGTGTTCATTGCAGGAGGACTGTTTGAAAATTGTCCTGCCATCTGCGTGGTGCGGAAATTCCTATTTGTGTGCGACTGTTTTGGATTCCGATACAAGACAGTCGCAGGCGCACTGGAATGAGATACTTGACTCTTTATCCTATCACAGTACAGTGGAACAGAATAGCCACTTTGACTGTTAGATTCCAAGACACACGAGGTCTGAGCACACATAGGTTCTTGACAATAACCGTTTCGTAAATTTGTGCGCGCAGTTGTAGCGTAACTCTGATGATTAATCTCTTCTAAGCGTCGATAAACCATGTTGCTTATCTTTCGTCGAGAATGCGATGCAGGTCGCTCACTGCTATAACATAATTCTCTGTATCTTGATCTTGTCATAGGAAACGAATGTACAAACGTTACATATGCGTCTCCGGGTAAAATGGAGCCGACTGGTTCCTGATGGTAGCGGATCTCTTGCCCAAGGGCGGGGTCATTCCCGGAGTTTGGTGGTTGACACATACATGTACAGGAAGAAGCGGGAAACTTGTCATTGAAATGAATATCCGAGCTTGTGTACAAATCAGAAGCTGGACTGCTGTCTGCACACGAATAAACACCGCTGTCTTCTGACGCTGCCTTGATTTTACAGGAAGTTGCAGTACAAGAAGGGTCTTTAGATTGCCATATATGACCATGTTGTCTTATCTTTAGTTCTCGTGCAGGATTGTGACAAGTATGGACTATATTACTAGTGGAGAAGGATCGAACTCTGGCATCCGATCTTGGGAGCAGATGTGAGTCTAACGGCAATTGTTGCCACAAAAGTTCGTGATGCCCATTGTTTTGATCACAAGTGAGCCCCGTATCCACAGAATCATGCTTTGCCGAGCAATCCTTTTCTTTATTATATAAACTATTTTCGTTGTTAGCTTCACAGTGATTATTGAAATTATGAATGATCTCTCTTTCATGGTCCACGTCTGTCGACTTACAGTGAACATTTTTTCTTTCTTGACTAGAAGCACACCGGTTGCTGTTAGGAATAAGACTGCCCTCTTTGGTGTGATTAGAACCTGAAACTTCGTTAAGACTGAGCTGACATGAGTCTATGATAACTGGCTGAAACAGTTCAGGTAAGTGGGATCTGTCGTCGATCACTGATTGAAACAGTTCAGGTGAGTGGGGTCTGTCGTTGATCACTGATTGAAACAGTTCAGGTGGGTGGGGTCTCTCGGTGATCACTGAATGTAACAGTTCAGGTGGGTGGGGTCTGTCGGTGATCACTGATTGAAACAGTTCAGGTGAGTGGGGTCTGTCGTCGATCACTGATTGAAACAGTTCAGGTGAGTGGGGTCTGTCGGTGATCACTGATTGAAACAGTTCAGGTGAGTGGGGTCTGTCGGTGATCACTGATTGAAACAGTTCAGGTGAGTGGGGTCTGTCGGTGATCACTGAATGAAACAGTTCAGGTGAGTGTGGTCTGTCGTTGATCACTGATTGAAACAGTTCAGGTGGGTGGGGTCTGTCGGAGATCACTGAATGAAACAGTTCAGGTGGGTGGGGTTTGTCGTTGATCACTGACTGAAACAGTTCACAGGAGCGGAGTGTGACGGTGGTAGCTGGCTGAACTATTTCACCCGAGTGGGGTGTGTTGTGAAACAGTGCATTCGTCAGAGAGACATTTTTTAAAACTTCCTGAGACAGTTGACCGGTTTGAGAGGGATCTGCGACAGGGCACAGAGAGAGTTCATCTGTGTGAAGACCGCCTACGACATCACGCTGATACAATTCAACTGTGTCAGATGTGTCTGTGACAGAGAGGTGAGACAGATCGCCTGTTCGAGAGAAATCTGTATCAGGTCGCTGAGGCAGGTCATTTGTCTGAGTGGAATCTGTGCCAGGGCGCTGATCCAGGTCATTTGTATGTGAAGAATCTGTGAGAGAGCATTGAAACTTGTCAGCTGTCTGTGATGAATCTGTGACGGAGCATTGAGACAAGACATCTGCCTGAGGGAAATCTGTGTCAGGGCACTGAGGCAGGTCATTTGTCTGAGATGAATCTGTGTCAGGGCACTGAGGAAGGTCATTTGTCTGAGATGAATCTGTGTCAGGGCACTGAGGCAGGTCATTTGTCTGAGATGAATCTGTGTCAGGGCACTGAGGCAGGTCATTTGTCTGAGATGAATCTGTGTCAGGGCACTGAGGCAGGTCATTTGTCTGAGATGAATCTGTGTCAGGGCACTGAGGCAGGTCATTTGTCTGAGATGAATCTGTATCAGGGCACTGAGGCAGGTCATTTGTCTGAGATGAATCTGTGTCAGGGCACTGAGGCAGGTCATTTGTCTGAGATGAATCTGTGTCAGGGCACTGAGGCAGGTCATTTGTCTGAGATGAATCTGTGTCAGGGCACTGAGGCAGGTCATCTGTCTGTGGGGAATCTGTGGCAGAGCGTTGATTTAGGTCATCTATCTGATAGGTGCCTGTCACAGCGCACTGGGGCAGATCGTCCGAAAGAGATACATCAGTATTATTATGCTGAGAATTTTCGGCTGAATGACAAGAATCAGCTATAACGTTATCAAGAAGTTCGCAGACGCTGGGTCGTAACTGATGTTGATCAACTGTTGTTTTGTTACTCCAAAGCGATATTAATTCTTGAATTTTACTGCAGTGTAATTCTCCACTGTCATAAGTTTCCTCATGATTTCCGCTTCCCAGAAAGAGTTCATTTTGTCCAAACTGGTGCCCCTGCTGCGAACAAGAAGAAGGGGAAATAATAAAGCAACAACAATGATATAAATGAAATCAGGACATATATATGACTTCAGGTACAAAGAGTATGATAATAATCAACGTTAAATTTCCGAGAAGGCAGAAAGTCCGGGGTTTAGATAATGAGACTGGTGTTATTATGTCCAGATGGCAATAATGCCACCATTTTT